AAATGCATATATATGGCTGGGTGCGGTGGTGCATGTCCTTAATCCCAGCACTTGGGAGACAGAGGAAGGTGGATTTCTGTTGGATCAAGGCCAGCCTGGTCTACTTAGTGAGTTCCAGGCTGGCTAGGGCTTCAGAGAGACCCTGTCTCTAAATAAACAAATGAACACATTTGGAGCTGGTAGAGATGGCTCAGTGGGTAAAATGCTTGCTGTCAAGCCTGATGACCCAAGTTCAATCCCTAGAACCCAAATGATAGAAAAAAAGAACTGACTCCCTCAAGTTGTCCCTTGACTTCCACGAGTGCCGTGGCACATGCACATGCATGCAGTGTGCACACACGCGCATGCAGTGTGCACACACGCACATGCACACACACACAGAGAAAATAAAATGTAAAAAAAGATGTTTTTGAGTGGGACATGGTGGCAAATATCTTTGATTCCAGCAATCAGAAGACACAGGCAGGAGGATCTCCATGAGATCGAGGTCATCTGGTTTACATAGCGAATTCCAGGCCAACTGAGCTACAGAGAGACCCTTGCCCATAAAAAATTTATTTAATAAAAAATAAAATGCGCATGTTCCAGATCTTGAAGGGTCATACAGTAGATACAGAAGAGAGTCCCCTGGTATTTTTAAAAAATTTTATTTTTTAATATATTTTATTTATTATTTTAATTTTATGTGTATGAGTGTATTACCTGCATGTATGTGAGTGCATCTGTGTCATGCAATGCCTTGGAGGTCAGAAGAGGGGATTGGAGTCCCTTGGAACTGGAGTTAAGGATGGTTTGTAGCTACCATATAGGTGCTGGGAATCGAACCCAGGTCCTCTGCAAAAGCAGTTAGTGCTCTTAACCACTGAGCCATCTCTCTAGCCTCTCTCATTTTTTCAAATGAGTATGTATGTATTGCCTGCATGTAAGTGTACCCATGTTGTGCAATGCCCTTGAAGGTCAGAAGGGGGAGTCAGATTCCCCTGGAACTGGAGTTACAGATGATTGTTAGCTGTCATGTGGGTGCTGGAAACCAAACTTGGGTCCCCTGCAAAAGCAGCCAGTGCTGTAAACTGCTGAGCCATCTCTCCAGCCCCCATCCCTGATGGTATTTTAAAGACTCTCTTCCAGAGATTCAGAACTTCTGGTCTCCTGCACAGAGTCCACAGACCTCTTCCTGGCCACTCAGGGCTGTCTCCACTGATTCTTCTGTACCCTGTACGTAGCCATACCAAATACCTTGCAGTCCTCCCAATTGCATCAGATGATTCCAGCTCCCCAGGCCTCTGAGCCTGCTCTTCCCTTTGCTTGTCCACCTTGTCAATTTGTACTTGTCCTTTAAAACTCAAGGAGAGGCTGTGCATGGTGGCACACACCTTTAATCCCAGCACTTGGGAAGCAGAGGCAGGCAGATCTCTGTGAGTTTCAGGCCAGCCTGGTCTAAATAGTGAGTTCTAGGCCAGCTGGGGACACAGAGAGACCCTGATTCAAAAAGACCAAACACACACACACACACACACACACACACACACAAACCCAGAGACAAAAACTCTAGGACAGGAACCCCTTCATGTGAAGCCCCACTGTCTGTACTGGTCCCTCTCACTCTGCATGACCACTGGGCTGGTACAGCCAACCAGCAGGCCTGTGTCATTATCACAACTGCCCGTCTACATGTCCACCTTCCCTTATAAGGGCTCATTAACTAGGATTCTCCTCAGAGCCTTGCACTGGATCTAGTACACAGTAGACACCCAATAATACAGGAATTGTTCCTAGCTACACCATATACTTGTGTCAGTCAAAATCTGGAGGAACAGAGCCAGACATGGTGGTGCATGCCTTTATTCCTAGCACTCGGAGGAGGTTAGGCAGGTGGATCTCTGTGAGTTTGGGGCCAGTCTAGCTACAAAGTGAATTCTACACAGAGAGTTCCAGGCCAGCCAGGGCTACAAAGTGAGACCCTATCTCAACAAACAAAAAAAAAAAAAAAAAAAAAAATTCATACAGTAAAAGCATACACCTTTGGTCCCAGCAATTGGGAGGCCAGAGGCAGGCAGATCTCTGTGAGTTCTGGGCCAGCTGGGGACACAGGGAGACCCTGTCTCTAAAAAGCCAAAAAAAAAAAAAAAAAGATTTGGAAGAATGGAGTTCTGCTGTGTTACTTTTATATTACATGTAGAACTGCATGATGATGCACAGTGAGGTATATAACTCACAGCAGTTAGACAAGGGCCTCTTCTCTTGAATCCCAGATATGTGCAAGCAGCCCCACAGAACATATGTTCCAGAAGGTCTTTCCAGGACCCTACACAGACATTATCTAGGAATACAGAAAAACACTTCTTTTCCACTCAGAAGACAGAATAGGTACCAGAACTTTTTTAAAATATATTTTATTATCCCGCCATTTATTATTTTTATTTTATGTGTATAAGTATATTGCCTGCATGTATGTGAGTGCACCCATGTTGTGCAATCCCGTGGAGGTCAGAAGAGGGCTTTGGATTCTCCTGGAACTGGAGTTAAGGATGGTTCATAGCCGCCATGTGGGTGCTGGGAATCAAACTTGGGTCCTCTGCAAGAGCAGTCAGTGGTCTTTACCGCTGAGTCATCTCTCCAGCCCCAGAACATTTTTTTTTTTTTTTAAAGAAAGAAAAGCTAGGGATCTAGCTCAGGTGGTAGAGTACTTGCCTAGCATAGATAAGGCCCAAGGTTCAATCCCCAGCACCACATAAACTGGGCATGGTGGTGTGTATCTGTGATCCCCGAACTTTTTGATATACCAAAAATTATCTGGGAGGAAGAGTCACAATGAAAGATTATGTAGACCAGGTTGGCCTTTGGTTGTGTCTGTGGGGAATTGTCTTGATTGCCTTAATTGAAACAGGAGGACCCAGCCTAAAAGTGGGCAGTTCCATTCCCTGGTTTTGGTCCCCGGACTATAGAGAAATAAAAAAAGCTAGCTGAGTACTAACCATGCATGCATTCATTTTCTCTCTGCTCCTGACTATGGATGTACTGTGACCAACTGTCTGGAGCTCTTACCTCTGTGACTTCTCCACAGTGATGAACTGCAACCTGAAATTGTGAGCTAAAATAAACCCCTTCATCCCTAAATTGCTTTTTGTCAGGGTATTTTAATCACTACAACAGAAACTAGGACACCTTGTCTCAGATGTTTAAAAAGACAACCTGAGCCAGAGGAACTGTGTGTAAATGCTGCCCAGGGGGGCCAAGGCTAATGACTGGGCTGAGTCCTACCCACTGGGAAGAAGGCTGGCAGCACATGGTCTCCCAAGGGGAACAGCTTCCCGCAGGCTCTGCCAGTCTCCTTCTCCTTACTCTTCCCTGTACCGCTGATAGCACAGACCTCACACCTGGTGTCTACACTTCTGAGCCAGGGAGGAAAGTCTGTGAGCTCCCCACACTAGAATACTCTACCCCATACCCTGAGTATGGGAGGAGTAATGAAAAAGGCCCAAAGAGAACACGAGTGAGCAATGATGATAAGGAGCCAGTAAGAGCCAGTGAGTGGGCAAGGAAATGACTCATCAATATGCATCAATCATATTTAACTGTGAGTATCCACATGGGGCCAATTCCAGGCACAGGCTCTGGTTGGCACTGGGCCTACACCCAAGGAACTGCCAGGATCTGAGCTAAGCAGCCCTGCATCTGGCCCACTAGAGCACTCTGTCATCCTGTGCTCACAGGCCTGTGCAAAACACACACCAGCAACAACAGGGTGCCGTCTGCTGTGGAATGAATATAAAGGCAGTGACTGACAGCGAAGTTTTTGTTCTAAGACTTGTCTCCTGCAGGCTGGTTGCTGCAAGCATAAGAGGCTGGATCAAAGTGATCTAACCCAACAGTAGGATTTACCAATTTAAAGATCTTTAGCACGGGCACAGTCCGTCTGGGAGGACTCTACAGAGCTGCTGCAGAGCAGATATAAATTCTCCAGTGGGTTGATTCCTCAGAGAGCCTCGGTAACATACCCAGTATCTCATAAGGGGCCCATGATCACAAAGCCTGCTCTGACTATCCCATATAAAACAGCAAACAGCCTAGCCTCGGAGCTCTATCCCACTGACTCTGTTCATTTTCCTCGTTGCACCCATAGTCACACATACTGTCTAGGCCTTGGGTACTTGTGTACTATCTCTGCACAGGATGTGAGTTCCATGGGACAGGACTTATGACTGTTGTGCCATACTCTCTGTGCAGGCACACTTACTGGCCCTTGGGACGACCGTAGATGCTAGAAGAAAGAGAAAGAGAGAAACCTGGTACAGTATTAGCACTCTGTTTATGAGACTCTGCAGTCAGTCACCTGGATGCTGAGGCTCTGGGACTCCAGGTGGGGTAAGGTAATGTTCTTGTAGTCATCTCCGGTCTCTCGGATCAGGTGGAGGTCCTGGTACAGGTATTTCTGCAGGTGTTTCTCTGTGGCGGGGTACACCACGGTTGTCTTTATGTCTACAATGACACAGCACAACCTGTGACTGGAAAGCAAGCCCATTAAATTCAGAAGCCAAGCCCCATTCCCAGCCAGGACTAGGCTTTCACTGATGGCTCTCTAGCTCCTCAAGAAATTAACTATGGCCCTTCCCCCTCCATGGTTCAGGCACAGGAAACAAAGGTTTCTCACTTCCTACATGCAAATGTCTAGGTATGTGGCTTTCTGGACTCAAAGCTGGAAATGTGGCTTGAGGCCCAGTAGTCCCCCTTAAGGAGAGGCAGTGCAATATAGCTCAGTGGCTCAGTGTGGGCTTGGGAGCCAGGCCGTCTAGGCTCAAGGCCTGCCTCTGCCTGCTCCTTATTCACCCTGAGGACTGTGGCCCTAGCTGGGAATTTGGTCCAGTTATTTAACCTCTGTGTGCCCTGACTTCCCCATCTGCCAAAAGAGGATAGCAACAGTTCCTATGTCATAATACTGGAAGATGAAGTGAGTTAATTACTTGAGAAGTACTTGGAACAATGTCTGGCACTTGTTAACAATGTGTAAGTGCTGGATGTGGAGCTAGTAAGATAGCTCTGCAGGAAAAGGCACATGAAGCCAAGCCTAATGACCTGAGTTTAATCCCTAGGATCCACATAGTAGAAGAATAGAACCAACTTCTGTAAGTTGGCATCTGACTTCCACAAGCACACTGTGGCATATATTTGCATGCATGCACCTGTACACACACACACACACACACACACACACACACACACACACACAAATAAATAAATCAATAAATGTAAGTGCTGGACATGCAATCCAGGTTTCTCAGTGGTATCATTAACACTGGCTGGGTCAGCTCTGTGGTGGGGACTGTTTGTGCTACAGCATGTCTACTTCAATGGAGGCCCAGCCTTAGCTGGGGTGTTAGCGCCCACCCTCCACGTAACAACAAAATGTCTTCAGACATTTCCAAATGTCCTCTGGGAAGCAAAATTGTCCCTAGCAGTTTTGCTTTGTGCTTTGCTTAAGATCAGATCTCACCACACAGTCCAGGCTGGCCTGGATTTCATTAGTAGATCAAACCGAATTCAAGCTTGCAGTGATCCTGCCTTTGTCTCCCAAGTGCTGGAACTGCATCCAAGAACAAAGGGTTTTTTAAAAAATATTTTAGCTGGGCGTGGTGGTGCACGCCTTTAATCCCAGCACTCGGGAGGCAGAGGCAGGCGGATTTCTGTGAGTTCAAGGCCAGCCTGGTCTCCATAGTGAGTTCCAGGGCAGCTGGGGCTATAGGAAGACCCTGTCTCAAAAAGACCACAATATATATATTTATGTATATGAGTTTTGTCTGCATGTATGTAAGTGCACCCGTGTTGTGCAATGCCCATGGAGGTCAGAAGAGGGCATCAGGTTCCTGGAACTGGAGATAGAGATGGTTGTTAGCCGCCATATGGGTGCTGGGAATCAAACCAGGATCCTCTGCAAGAGCAGCCATTGCTCTTAACTGCTGAGCCATCTCTCCAGCCCCAGAAAAACAAAGTTTTTAATCATCAGGGAACCCTGTAATTTTCCTGAGCAGACTATATGCAAACACTCTGGTCCAGGAACACCAGCCTGTGGTTAAATCCTTCCTGCTATTTTCAGTAACATCTGGCATAGGCACCATTGCCACTCTGACGTGAACATGGTACCTCAACACATATCTCCAGGGCCAGGGAGGATGGTGACTTGGTGTTACAAAATCAGTTAGGTATTTTTCAAAAGTGATCCACATGTCCTGACCCTCTCCCTGGGATTTCAGGTATGCTCTTCCAAAGAACAACACTCCTATATACCTCAACACCCTTCTAAGAACAATCAACCTGCACTTTCAGACTGGATTTGAGGATGCAGGTGATTTTACTGTGCTTCCACAGGTGAGGAAGAAAAGGGATTCAAAACTTATTTAGTGTGATGCTGGAGACATGGCAGTCAAGACTGGAACCAAGACTGACTCTAAAATTGGTGGTCTTTCAAGAAAGTGGCCTGCCTACTGGCCCAGTTCTTCTAAAGTGCAGCAGACATGTGCAGGTAATATACTAAGCATATAACTTCCAGTGAGCACAAGATATCCCATTCCCTCAGCTCTGGGGGCAAAGTACCATGGTGGGGAGACCTAAGCTTGGAATCAGAGTGGCCAACTGGGTCTCCTTTACTGCTGGTGACATTATAGAGGCTCAGATTCTTTGCCTGTTAAAGTGTGGTCCCTAAAGCACCACCACCAGCATCTACTTTTGTTGTTTTTGTGCCTTTGGCTGCCTGACTTGGAGAGATGAGCCTTGGCAAGGGACTTCTCTCAAAGTGGGGGAGACATCCTGGAACAAAGGCAGGGTTGACACCGGAGAATAGCCTGACTCTGCTGGCAGGGGGCACATAGCTCTGGGCTCACAGCCTGGGGCTCCTAGCTGTTTCAGAGACCTGAGAACAAGCCCTTGTTTGCCCAGGCTTGTCAAGGACCTGGCCCAGCCACCCAGGGTGCAGGGAAACAGGAATCTTACCAAGCCAGCCCTCACTTGCCTTCCACCCACCGCAACAAGGAGAAACTCCAAAGGCTTCATTTCCTGACTGCTGGCTTCTTGAGGGCCTTCCCAGAAGCTTCTGCATGGCCAGTGGGACCCCACAAGCGGCCCTCTCAGCCCAGCTTCTTTCGGACCAGAATGGAGCCCTGCATGCTGCTGTCAGGGCTGTGGTCCTGTTCCTTCATTTCTCACTCCTTCCTGTTGCTTTTGCTGCAGCCACAAAGCCCCACTGTTATACCACTGGACACTGACATGTGCCCTTCTTTGGGCATAGCACGGTGGCTCCCAATGCCAGCCACATACCCCTAGCAGAAGATCCCTGCCACTCTTTTGCCTCACTCAGGACTCAGGTCAGCTGGACAGCCCCAATGAATTGGGTTCCATGACCCTCCTTGCCCTTTCTCCCCCTCCCACTGACTAACTGCATAGCTTCCGGACTGCTTTGCCATGAGAATGCAGCTTCCAGGAAGAGATTTGACTTGTTTGTTTTCACTACTTGTCCCTGACACCTGGCATACAGTAAGCACTCAATACTTATTGCACAAATGAATCTGGCCTTTTCAGACTTCAAACTTTGGAAGAACATTTGTGTCAAAAGGAATAAAGCCTCTTTGATAAAAAATCAGTATGTTTCCCAATTATGTTTCTTATTGGCGGGCACAAACCACCTCTGGTATTTACCTAAATGCCAGTCAAGATTCTCACCTGCAGCTGAACTTCAGGAGTTTAGTCAAGAGTCAATGATTGATAAATATACAAACTGTTAAAAATGTGCTGGGGGACAGGAGACACCTGTGCAATCTCCACACCACCCACAGATTACATAGTGATCAGAAAGTGCAAACAATAGTCCTCCTTGGTACTGCTAACACAGAGCCTAAATCAACCAACCACAAGGAAACCCCAAAGTCAAAGTGCAGGGGTATTCAACAAAATGAGTGGTTTTAATACTTTTTCAAATGCCAAAAATTAACTGGGTCCAATGGCATGTGCCTGCAGTTCCAACACCTGAAAGGCTGAGGCAGGAGGGCCAATGGAACCCAGGAGTTTAAGGCCAGCATGGGCAACACAGGGAGACCTGTCTCAAAAAAACAAGGCACTGGAGAAATGGCTCAGCAGTTAAGAGTACTGGCTGCTCTTGCAGAGGACCTGGGTTCAGTTCCCAGCACCCACAAGGTGGCTAACTACTGTCTGGAACTCCAGTTCCAGGGGATCCAAGGCCCTCTTCTGATCCCCGAGGGCACTGCACAACATGGGTGCACGTCCATGCAGGCAATACACTCATACACATAAAATTAAAATAATAAAATATTAAACAAACAAAATCTACAAAATGTTAAAGCTAGGAAAGACAAAGAAAGGCCGAGCAATTGCTCCGGATGAAAGGAGACAAAGCAGACATGATCGAGGGGGCTGCAGTGGATCCTGGACAGGGGACAAGGGGTCTGCTTCACACAGGGCACCAAAACAGGCACAGCTAACAACAGTCTACAGCACATAACAGCTCTGTATAAATGTGAGATTTTCTGAAACGGTACTGCTAACACAGAGCCTAAATCAACCAACCACAAGGAAACCCCAAAGTCAAAGTGCAGGGGTATTCAACAAAATGAGTGGTTTTAATACTTTTTCAAATGCCAAAAATTAACTGGGTCCAATGGCATGTGCCTGCAGTTCCAACACCTGAAAGGCTGAGGCAGGAGGGCCAATGGAACCCAGGAGTTTAAGGCCAGCATGGGCAACACAGGGAGACCTGTCTCAAAAAAACAAGGCACTGGAGAAATGGCTCAGCAGTTAAGAGTACTGGCTGCTCTTGCAGAGGACCTGGGTTCAGTTCCCAGCACCCACAAGGTGGCTAACTACTGTCTGGAACTCCAGTTCCAGGGGATCCAAGGCCCTCTTCTGATCCCCGAGGGCACTGCACAACATGGGTGCACGTCCATGCAGGCAATACACTCATACACATAAAATTAAAATAATAAAATATTAAACAAACAAAATCTACAAAATGTTAAAGCTAGGAAAGACAAAGAAAGGCCGAGCAATTGCTCCGGATGAAAGGAGACAAAGCAGACATGATCGAGGGGGCTGCAGTGGATCCTGGACAGGGGACAAGGGGTCTGCTTCACACAGGGCACCAAAACAGGCACAGCTAACAACAGTCTACAGCACATAACAGCTCTGTATAAATGTGAGATTTTCTGAAACCCACCATTTACCTCTTTTTATACTTATATCCAGAGTAGTCGTATATGTGAGTAGATGGAGAAAAGCAAATGTGGCAAAATGTTAAAAACAGATAATGGGCCAGGTGTGGTGGCACATGCCCTTTAAACCCAGCACTCAGGTGGCAGAGGGATTTTTGTGAGACCAGCTTGGTCTACAGAACAAGTTCCAGACCAACTACAGAGAGACCTTGTCTCCAAACAAACAAAAATAATAACAAACAAGTACTGGAGTTTTATATGGCAGGT